ATATGCCCCTTACCAAGATATGGTTCCATCACTGTTCTAACCACATCACCAGAGATACCCAGTAACTTCCTGGTATCTTGCAATGTATTACTGCCAGTGTACACAATTATATCCAAAACCAGACCACTTTTGCAATCACACAGTACAAATAACTTATACCAAACTTATCCCAGATGCAGTCTGCTGGTGAGTACTGGATATTTACAGGTAGTTGTGGTTGTGCAGGTTGTGGATGTTGTGGATGTTGTGGGAGTGTGGGGGTGGTTGTGATTGTGCTGAGTTAGCAGCGTGGGTAGTAGCATGGCCCGCTGCTGGTGCTACATGACTTATGTCGCCACCGCCACCTGCTGCCCCATGTACATTATTCACCCCCATTATAACAATACTGTTATCTTCACTATCAGTTTGCGGTGTAGGGTCACGGGATGTACTCCGAGATTTACTCCTTCCCCTTGGAACAGCATATGGCACACTACCAGAACGCATGTTGCGTCGTACATACTGCCGCTTCACTGGAGAACATTCACCCTCACTGTCGCAACTAGAACTGCTTTCAATAGCTTGACAATCACTATCACTATCACATCTGAGTCCTGTACACGGGAAAATAAGTTTCCTCTTTCGTCCTAGTACAGGTGGATGCAAATGAGACGGCCCAGCACCAGAAGTGGAAGGGTGTGGGTCATGTGGATTTTCATCACTAATTACGTTATTCTGGGCACTGCTTTCGGTCAGACCCTCTCCAAAAACCATGAAATTCACTTTCACTGGCACTTCCATCGCTGTTAGAGCTATCACTTGGGAACAAAAGACCTCCAATCCGCTGAGGAGTGAGGTACTTCTTACTGTGAGGCATGGTGAACAAGGATTACTGGAGTGGAGTTCCTACAATGCACTGCTGCATTCCCGATTCTTTTAATAGTGCGCACACTGATTCTCTCACATGTAGGCCTTCCAGCTTTCTCCTGCTCGATTTGAGGCCGCCAGAATTTGTGTGTATTAATACGTCAAACACGGTGGCTCCTAAGACAAATACAGTGGACCCCCGGTTAACGATTTTAATCCGTGCAAGAGGGGTAATTGTTATGCGAAATAATCGTTATGTGAATGAATTTTCCCCATAAGAAATAATGGAAATAAAATTAATCCGTGCAAGACACCCAAAAGTATGAAAAAAAAATTTTTACCACATGAAATATACATTTTCCCACACACAAAGAGAAGGATACATGCACAATAGTAGAGTAGTACATGCACAGTATATATTGTGCATGTACTAGTCTACTAAATGAAGAATAAATGACACTTACCTTTATTGAAGATGCAGCAATGACTGATGAGACACTGTGTCCTGGGAGTGCCTTTTCCTCCTGAGTACTGTAGGTCCTGTTTGGCATTTTTCTTCCAGAACAGGCCTTATCACACTGTGTATGCCACTACGATTCTTAAATCTCTCAAACCAACCTTTGCTGGCTTTAAATTCACCAATATGAGCACTAGTTCCAGGCATTTTTCCCTGTTCACCTGGGTGTTAGTCGACTTGTGTGGGTTGCATCCTGGGAGATAAGATTAAGGACCCCAATGGAAATAAGTTAGACAGTCTTCGATGACACTGACTTTTTTGGGTTATCCTGGGTGGCAAATCCTCTGGGGTTAATTGTTTCTTGGTATTCTCAATAAGCCACACCAACAACGGTGCTACAGCAGCAGCAGCAGCTGACAGTGCAGCAGCAGCAGCAGCTGTACCACCAATAGTAGCGATGGTTGATTGGGGTTTATTATACAACCTGGCCAGCTCGGAGACATGCACTCCACTTTCATACTTATCAATGATCTTTTTCTTCATCTCTATTGTAATTCTCACCCTTATTGCTGTAGGGTTGGCACTAGAAGCTTTCTTGGGGCCCATGGTCACTTATTTTCCAGAAAAAGCACCGAAAACACTGTAATAATACGAAATATTCCGATTGTATGCTTGGATGTTACCGCGGAGGCTGGCTGGTAAACAATGCCACCGGCGGAACATGTGAGCGCGTCTCGGAAGAAAATTGGTAAGCGGGTTTTTAAGCGGTATGTGAGGCAAAATTTTTGCAATTAAAGTAAGCGGTATGCGAAATAATCGCTATGTGATGCCATCGTTATGCGGGGGTCCACTGTATACACGTCTTACACAGTCAAATGGTTAAATCTGGTAAAAGATTCTGCATAATTTCAAAAGAAATTTTTCCTAAATTCTCGGACCTGAGAGCAATTTACAGATCAGGGGTCTGGGCCCTGAAAAGGTTAATTACAGTACACACACTCCTCCCTTAACAACCTACCTGTTTAATGACTGCTTGGACTTATGATCAGGTCTCTCCGACCAGTCGATATAGTACGCTGTAAGAGAACTTTGGTAATGAAAACAGCAGTGCAGTGTTTCAGCATCAAGCAATCTCCAAGACTACATATTTCGTCTATAAATTTGTACTTTATTGTGCACCCCATAGTACAAGGTAGAGTTGGAAGTGTGGCAGCACTTGGAAGAGAAAAGAATGAAAGGAGTACAAAAAGTTATCTGTAAAGGAGTTTGTTTACATTCTCGGCATCTCTTGTTTACGATGCCATCTAAGGGTAAGTTTATTCAGGTACAGGTACAAATACAATTACATAAAATATCATACAAAGTAACTTTTTTTGGGAGTTATCCTAGATAATCTACACACATGCTGCTATGTATGATAATTTATATTTGTGTGTACTTGAATAAACTTTCTTACCTTCAGATGCCATCATAAATGAGAGAGAGAGAGAGACGCGGATAGAAACGCGGAGAAAGTAAACAGACAAACACACCAGTTAACCCCTTTGCAGTGAACAAGGTATGTCGATTGTAATAAAAATCAATTGCTCTGGGGTACTTTAAATGTCGTATATTAGATGTGCTTCAAGGTGTTTTAGTACTTTAAACATTGCTTCACTTGGAATAATCAGTATAAATACAGTATGATTGGTTTATATTTTTTTTTCCCTTATTTTGGTTTTCATAGGCAATGTACATGGTATACTTAAAACAAAACATTACAATTGTTTCCAAGTATTATACTCCTCAAAACAAGGGAATATGTAATATTGTTTGAATTTACTGGGTTATATATATGGTATATACACTTTAGAATTGTTATTTTACTTTTGTTTGTTTTTACTATTTTGACCTTCTAAGGCTATGTACAATGAATACATATTACAATTATTTCAGAATGTATTATTCATCAAAACATGGAAATTATTCACAGTTTGACTTTAGTGGGTTATACCTATGTATGTTAGTATCATGAAATTGTAACAAATTTGGAATGAATAAGTCATCTCTGAGCCACTTTCACACCCAGTTTACTGGTAGGGAAGCTGGTGGTGGAACAGCTCCTGGTTAGTTTGTTTACTTTTTGCTAGTGAGGCACACTAGTACATAGGACATACAATCATTCTGAGTAGATGAGCATGATACACTGTGTGGACCCTGCTGGTCTATAGATTTTTCAAATACATGAAGAGACGAAAGACCCAAAAAGTTGCCCTGAGGTAAAAAATATTGGCAGGCGACAGGTTTGTGGGTACGAAAAATGGTGTGTACTAGTATGTTAAGACAGTACGAGCACCTGTGTACTAGCTTGTCGGATATAGTTAAAGTGTTAAGCAGAGAGATTATAAAATGTTCCTTAAATCAAAATCAGAAAATCTGGATAGTAATGAAAATCTAATTTAGAGGCTTGCAGCTCATTGTGGGAAAAAGCTCACAAACCTGAAATCATCTTTGTCCAATTAAGAGACTTGTTTGCAATTTATACTAACTCTATACAGATTAACCCTTTCAGGATCCGTCCCGTAGATCTACGGCTTTACGGTGAGTGTCCAAACCGTAGATCTACGCCATGAGCTCAGCTCACTCTGATAAACTGTGAGTGGTACATTTGGGCCTAGATATGAGAGAATACATCTATGTGGTATGTGTGCACCACATAAAACAGATCCTGCAGCACACTGTGTATAATGAGAGAAAAAACTGAAATCATGATTTTTTGATTAAAACAGCAACTTTGCAGTGTTTTTTCGTATGTTTTTTATAGTTGTATTTGCGATTTCTTGGTCTCATTTGATAGAATGGAAGACATATTACAGAAATAGAGATGATTTTGATTGGTTTTAGCACTGGAAATGGCTTGAAACTGAGCTCAAAGTAGCGGAAATGTTAAATTTTTGCCGATATTCAAGAGTAAACAAACGACCTCACACATCTAATACACGTCAGCTGGTGGGTCATAACAGCAAATCTTCTATTTTTTGGTGTGAATAAAAATTCATTATGTGAATAAAAAATAAAAATGGAATTTATTTGTAAAGCCTCAAAACATAACTAATGAACAGAGGAAATGTTAGTTTAGTGCCAGGAATGCCTACATTGTTTATTCTGGACCCTATTTTGAAAATGGAATATTTTGAACTTTGTGTTAAATTGGCCAAATTAACAATTTCCGATCACTTTATTTTGTAGTTGAAACAGTTGACTTGGCGATTTCTTGTGCTCAATCGATAGAATAGAAGTAATACTAGTGAAATAGCTAAGAATTTGGTTGATTGGAATAATGAAATTGGCCTAAAATGGGAGTCAAAGTCGGCAAAATCGCCGATTCGTAAATATCGCTGACACATCAAAATTCGTGAGAGCATAATTTCGTCAATTTTCCACCAAATTTCGTACTTTTTGTTTTATTACCTTCACAAAAAGATTCTCTACGATTTCATAAGAAAAAATAACAAATTTTTTTTTTGAAAATTCTTGGACACTGGTGTGTTGACTCCAGATTTGGGCCTTGGACCCTGAAAGGGTTAATATCTACAATGCTATCATACCTGCTAGGTAAAAGCAGCACCCTACATTCATGTGCTCCCTTAAGCCATATAAAGAAAATGGCAATGTGACAAGACACAGAAGTACCCGAGTTTATCAATAATGTCACTACCTTCATCAGAGCTTTCATTTTCCTCTTCATCATCCTCTTCCATATCTTCATCTATATCAAATACAATATATCCTGACAAATGGACAGATGAATTTCCCCCTTGTGTATAAAATGCAACATGACTTCCAGACTCAAACTGAAGATCAAGCTGGGACTGGAGGACGCCATGCTTGCGGCTTAGGTTAGCAATGATAGTTTCAGTTTCATTGTCATCGACCTCCACTATAACCTGTAAAATCAATGACAGAAAATTTTACTAAAGCTTACTCTTCAGACATACACAGGTATAATAAATAAATTCTAATGATAGACCAGATTATTATATTTTATGAATATAGTTTAAGAACTACATATTATAAAGGAATAATAAAAGTAATCACACATTCTTGAAACCAAAGAATCATTCAGCACTGCTAGATTTTTCTGTACAGTGGAGCATCTTCATTCTGGACTCCTTGAAACCAAGAGACATTACAGAACGAGAAAGTTCCAGCATAGAAAAAATTAATGTAGCACAGAACTCCATTTATTTTATCCTCTTCCAAATGTAGTTACCAATATACAGTACAGATATTTACACCATGTGAGGCAGTAAAAGACATGAGATACAAATAACTCTAATGTGACATGCCAGTCACTCTGGCCTGAACATGTTTTCTTATTATAGTGGAACTCCTGATTTCGTAGGCACTGAATTTTGTACGTTTCAAATTTAGACCACTTTTTTGGGCGAAATTTTGATCCGGATTTCGTATCTCCACCCTGAGACTATGTATCAGATGTGCCCGCCTGCCAGGGAAGCTGCCACTCATGCATAGGTGTCTGAGTCTGGCTCTGTCACTGGTCATCCGAAACATTTCATAATAACCCATTGTTTTTTGTGCTTAACTATTGAGTGTGACTGTGAAATAAGCCACCATGGGCCCAAAGAAAGTTCCTAGTGCCAAGAAGGCGTGAAACACAATAGAAGTCGAGAGATTGTAGAAAAATACCAAAGTGGTGTATGTTTAGCCAAGTTTGCCAGGATGTATGGGGAGTTGAAATCAACAATCTGTTCCATCCTGGCAAAGAAAGTAGAAATCAAGGAAGCTGAAGAGTCTTCAATAAAAGGCATGTAATAGTGATTTAAATGTTCATTTATCCATTTCATTAGCACTTTATATTTCTCATCGTTTTCTGTATGTAAAACTATTAATTATTCTTTAAAAAAATTCATTTTTTGTTAATGTTTTTGGGTGTCTGGAACAGTTTAACTGTTTTTACATCATTTCTTATGGGTAATATTACTTCGGTTTTCGTATGTTTCGGATTAAGACCGACCTTCTGGAATGGATTAAGTATGAAATCTGGAGTTCCACTGTACTTGGCATCTTATTAAATACTAGCAAATTCTCAGATTCTGCATTGTGAAAGGCCTTTAAATGGTGGCAATAATCCCTTGATCTATGGGATGCAGTATAGATGTCATTTTCAAAGAAGTGTACCTTACCTGACACTCACTGGTCATTTAATCTCTGGGCCACAGGTGTTGCCCAAGACTATTCACTTTGTGTCAGCAGATACCAGGAATATTGCCAACACAAATGTAAAAGAATTCAAGACGAAACTGTATCAATATCTCCGTAGTATGCCAGATGAACCATTGTGTGATAGATGTGAGCCAGTGTGCCACCAACATTAACAGCCTTGTTGACCATGTAGTCAACAGGAAGGCCAGACCTCAAGAGTAGGAAAAAACTCAAAACTGATCACAGATAGTAAGAAAATGGAGTTACTACATATGATAGCTATAGGTGCAAGTGCAGCTGCTGTTGGTAGACATGGTATAAATGAATTTATGGTATGAAACAGCGGAGAAATGAGAAGAGGATTCAGAATAAGTATGATATAGCAAAGTAGATGCATCACAATCTTCCTCCTCTTAGAAGCAGACTCACCTTTGCCATGTTTAACAGCCATGAACATTACACTAAAACACTCCCATGGTCAACAAATTGAAAAGCAATTTTATTTCAAATTCCAGTATAAAACTTACCCTAACAATCTCATCATCACAGGTTGATGTATCTAGGACAGCAGCTGATATGTGGAAAGGATTATCCACTGTTTTAGTGTATCGTTTAAATGGCTCAAGTGTCAAACCTGAAAGAAAAGCAATTAAAATTTTTGAAACATTAAAATTAAAATATAAAAAACACAGATGCAAATTAAGGATGAAATAATGCAACAGTTTCAGCACCTAATGTCTGCTCCAACTATATATCTATCTTGTAAAGCTGACCTTGAATTTACACAAGGACAAAGTTGTTAAAGCTCTGCTACACCTAAAATAATGATTTACAAAACTAATGGATAGCATTTTTTATTTTAAATGTAAAAGGTTTACAGAGTTCTGATCAGGGAATAAAGTAAATATTGAACACTTGCTTGCTGACCTAAATTTATATAAAAAAAAATTACGACCATCCCAGAATGAGCTTTTACACAGCCCATCTGTAAATACACATAGCTACCCCATATAACTTTTCACAACAAAATAATGAACTGCAGAAATAAGAATACAGGGTGATGATAAGCAGGTCTAGCAAAATTAAGATTTCTTTAGCTAGTGCAGATTAAACTGATGTACAGCAAAGACATCAAGTTTTCACATCACTAATGTCAGGCAATTGGTTCAGCAACTTGCTAAAATGATGCATAACTACAATTTATCTGACATAATTCAGGTTTGGCTCAATATGGTGAACAGCTGCTCAGTCGAGTTTGGTGACAATTTATAATCTAACGTGTACAGTAATAGGTAGGTTTTGCAATAAATTTATTTCATGAAAACCATCCAATTTTTTTTTTATAAGAACTTTATAGATTGTTAGAACTGCTTAGATTAGGTTGCCTAAGGTTATGTTAGGTTAGGTTTAGTTAAACTAAGTAACCTAATCCAACCAAACCAAACCCAGCAAAACCCAATACAACCACACCCAATCCAACCTCACCTAGCCTAGCCATAAAATAACCTAACATAAATTACACAAATTATTCTGCAAAGGTAATCACATCTGCTGTGAAAATCTCTTATGATATTGCTAGAAAGTGAAAGACTGTACAGTGGCCATTGTTCTGAAGCGAACACTGTAGGAATGCCAATCCTAGCCACTGATTGGAAATAGTGCACACTTTACCACATACATTCTTCCTCCAATAAAACTGTACAGTTGTTTGATAAATTCTAAGTTAACAACTTTTTAACTACTTTTGTCTGGTTATATGTTAAAAAAGAAGTACACAGCAGAGTTAAACCAAGCAGCTGATGTTCATACTGACACACACAACTAATGTGACATTTTATTGTGGCTAAGTTTCATCCTCCAAAGCTTGACATAGCCCCTCCAGCATGAAATTTTACCATAATAAAAATATAATCATCTTTAATTCAACAGGTACATATAAAAGATGTACAGATCTAGCTGACATCAATGACATACTATTATATAGAAAGCCCCTCGTTATGCAGAGCATTTTGGGCAAATTAGGTTAATTTTGCCCCTAGGATGTGACCCACACACAGGTAACTATTTTACTTACAGGTGAACATGGACATTATTATTATTATTATCATCAAGGGGGAAGCGCTAAACCCAGAGGATTATACAGCGCCTGGGGGGGGGGGGGTGGAAGGCATTCAGGCTTAATTCGGGGAACTGGAGCACAGATCCAATTCCCTAAATCAAGAGCCCCTCACCAACATCAAGGAACCTTCCTTGAGGGGTGTGAACATGGACAGCAGGTGTCTTAATGAAACATCCTGTTTCCCCCCGGACTGGGGATCGACCCCTAGGCCTCAGTTGTGCAAGTCGTTTTATCTATCCTATAGGTAATGCTACCATCATTTCAAACCCAGTAGCCTCGTTGAAGCAAGAACCTCAGATACCTTTACAAATAGATTAGACAAGTACAGAGTGGGTGTGGGTTAGACCTGCCTAGCATGAGCCAGTAGACCTACTGGAGTGCTCCTCCCTTCGTATGTTATCTTTGGTAGCTATAATTATCATAAAGGGTTTAGTTCTCTCTCCTCCCCCCCACCACCACAAAGTAAGCCAGCCTACCACTGTATAGGCCTGTGCCAGTATTTTACGGTTGCACCGAAATTTCAAGCTGATGAAATAGGAAAAATAAAAATTGCCCACTATAACTTGATTTCATAACCTAATTTGACTTAGTAGTAAAGAATATTTGCTGGAGAGGCTGTGGCTGCCACCCCATGAAGGTTCTCTTAGTGATGAATATAATGCCGCTTTAAGGTAGTTAAGCCATGTTGTTCACTTCTGTCTTGTCTCGCCTCATTTTACCCTACTTCCGTATATGGAACCATGAAATTTATATTACATTTTTATAGGTATAACATGACGCAAATTAAACGCCCATCTACATAAACTAAAATTATTATTTAGAGGGGTAATACAGCAAATATATTGACAAGCGAAACATGTGGAAATGGCGGCCTGGGGCCCCCGTGGTGACCCTTGCAAGTCTAGTGGCTCGCAAAAACCGCACAGTATTGGGCGAAACTACTTTCTGTACATTGGCTAGAGGTGACTCACCCCAAAACATGATGGCAGAGGGTAGTTAGAATGCACACGTGGTGTTGATCAGCTGTTATGTTGTCGTCACTCTCAGCACCTGTTGTGTTTGCCGCCGCCCGACTGCTCCCTCGGTTCTCTTCTCACCTTAATTATCATCATTTATTATTTTCACAGTCATATTCACATTAAGATTGTACATAAATATGGTTTTATTAGTAGAAATTATTATTGCACTGGGGTTTGCTTATTACATAAAGTAGTTAAAAATAATAATATTTATCTACATAAAATGTAAAATCCAAGTATAAATTCAAAATCCAAACTCGAATACAAATGTTGCTTTAATAAATGTAATAGGCATAATCTATATAGCTCCTATTTGAATGTAAGAATATACAAGATCTGCAGTAGGCCTACTGATCCATGCCAAAAAAGGTCTACTCACATCCACCCACCATCATTTAATTAAAAAAATAAAACAAGAATCGAGAATATTTTTTTAAATATAAAAAAACTGATACACTGAGATATATGACATAAATGCATATTATGCAGGATAATTTTCCGGTTATTCTCTATCATGCTGTAGATACTATGGATTTTCAATACGTGAAATTTAACAAGTTGCTGTAATAATAATAATAATAATAATAATAATAATAATAATAATAATAATAATAATAATAATAATAACAATAGTTAATAAAACAGAATGAACTTTTAAATACAGTAGGCCTACTGGCCCAAGCTATGTATATCTTACGCCCATCCATTCCTCACAGTCCTGTTGAACAGTCCCAATTTTATTAATTAAAAGCAATCATGTATTTATTTAACATAATTTAGAAGCTAAGACAGATAAACAACATATATTTTCGTAATAAATCATGATGAATGGCTACATTCACACCAAAATGAACGTGAATGGACCCTAAGATCCAGAGGTTAACAACGCCTGCACTACCTACCTACCTGGAGTCTACCTGGAGGGAATTCCGGGGATCAACGCCCCAGCGGCCCGGTCCACGACCAGGCCTCACGGTGGATCAGGGCCTGATCAATGAGGCTGTTACTGCTGGCCGCACGCAATCCAACGTACAAACCACAGCCCTGCTGATCCGGCACCGTCTTTAGGTATCTGTCCAGCTACCTCTTGAAGACAACCAGGGGTCTTCCCGTAATGCCCCTTATTGCTGGTGGGAGGCTGTTGAACAGTCTTGGGCCCCGGACACTTATTGTGTTTTCTCTTAGTGTACCAGTGACGCCCCTACTTTTCACTGGGGGTATGTTGCATCGCCTGCCAAGTCTTTTGCTTTCGTATGGAGTGATTGCTGTGCGAATATTATGGACCAGTCCCTCCAGAATCTTCCAGGTGTAGATTATGATATATCTCTCTCGCTTGCGCTCCAGTGAGTACAAGTCAAGTGCTTCCAGGCGCTCCCAGTAGTTAAGGTGTTTGGTGGAACTTAACGTACAGTAAAGGATCTCTGTACCATTGTACTGTAATGTGTACAACAGAAGAGGAAAAGGACCCAAATGGAAATATGTAACCGGCTGACTTGAGGGGAGGTTGTACTAGGTAATTTACGGACGTTACTATGTACGGTAATTGGACTTGTGTATCTGTACCTATAAATTTACTAACAACTCTCTTTGGGTAATGTTTACCTGGAGTTACCTGGAGAGAGTTCCGGGGGTCAACGCCCCCGGGGCCCGGTCTGTGACCAGACCTCCTGGTGGATCAGAGCCTGATCAACCAGGCTGTTGCTGCTGGCTGCACGCAAACCAACGTACGAGCCACAGCCCGGCTGGTCAGGAACCGACTTTAGGTGCTTGTCCAGTGCCAGCTTGAAGACTGCCAGGGGCCTGTTGGTAATCCCCCTTATGTATGCTGGGAGGCAGTTGAACAGTCTCGGGCCCCTGACACTTATTGTATGGTCTCTTAACGTGCTAGTGACACCCCTGCTTTTCATTGGGGGATGGTGCATCGTCTGCCAAGTCTTTTGCTTTCGTAGCGAGTGATTTTCGTGTTCAAGTTCGGTACTAGTCCCTCTAGGATTTTCCAGGTGTATATAATCATGCATCTCTCCCCGCCTGCGTTCCAGGAATACAGGTTTAGGAACCTCAAGCGCTCCCAGTAATTGAGTGTTTTTATCTCCGTTATGCGCGCCGTGAAGGTTCTCTGTACATTTTCTAGGTCAGCAATTTCACCTACCTTGAAAGGTGCTGTTAGTGTGCAGCAAATTCCAGCCTAGATAGAACAAGTGACCTAGAAGAGTGTCATCATGGGCTTGGCCTCCCTAGTTTTGAAGGTTCTCATTATCCATCCAGTCATTTTTTCTAGCAGATGCGATTGATACAATGTTATGGTCCTTGAAGGTGAGATCCTCCGACATGATCACTCCCAGGTCTTTGACGTTGGTGTTTCACTCTATTTTGTGGCCAGAATTTGTTTTGTACTCTGATGAAGATTTAATTTCCTCGTGTTTACCATATCTGAGTAATTGAAATTTCTCATCGTTGAACTTCATATTGTTTTCTGCAGCCCACTGAAAGATTTGGTTGATGTCCGCCTGGAGCCTTGCAGTGTCTGCAATGGAAGACACTGTCATGCAGATTCGGGTGTCATCTGCAAAGGAAGACACGGTGCTATGGCCGACATCCTTGTCTATGTCTGATATGAGGATGAAGAACAAGATGGGAGCGAGTACTGTGCCTTGTGGAACAGAGCTTTTCACCGTAGCTGCCTCGGACTTTACTCTGTTGACGACTACTCTCTGTGTTCTGTTAGTGAGGAAATTATAGATCCATCGACCGACTTTTCCTGTTATTCCTTTAGCACGCATTTTGTGCGCTATTACGCCATGGTCACACTTGTCGAAGGCTTTTGCAAAGTCTGAATATATTACATCTGCATTCTTTTTGTCTTCTAATGCATTTAGGACCTTGTCGTAGTGATCCAATAGTTGAGACAGACAGGAGCGACCTGTTCTAAACCCATGTTGCCCTGGGTTGTGTAACTGATGGGTGGTGATCTTGCTTCTTAGGACCCTTTCAAAGATTTTTATGATATGGGATGTTAGTGCTATTGGTCTGTAGTTCTTTGCTGTTGCTTTACTGCCCCCTTTGTGGAGTGGGGCTATGTCTGTTGTTTTTAGTAACTGTGGGACGACCCCCGTGTCCATGCTCCCTCTCCATAGGATGGAAAAGGCTCGTGGGAGGGGCTTCTTGCAGTTCTTGATGAACACGGAGTTCCATGAGTCTGTTCGAAGTCATTTGGCGTCAGGATAACATCGGATAGGCTTGTGTTAATCAAATTTTGTGGATATCTCATAAAAAATTCATTTTGATCTTCGACTCTCAGTCTGGTTAGCGGCTTGCTAAAAACTGAGTCATATTGGGACTTGAGTAGCTCACTCATTTCCTTGCTGTCATCTGTGTAGGACCCATCTTGTTTAAGTAGGGGCCCAATACTGGACGTTGTTCTCGACTTTGATTTGGCATAGGAGAAGAAATACTTTGGGTTTCTTTCGATTTCATTTATGGCTTTTAGTTCTTCCCGCGATTCCTGACTCCTATAAGATTCCTTTAGCTTAAGTTCGATGCTTGCTATTTCTCTGACCAGTGTCTCCCTACGCATTTCAGATATATTGACCTCTTTTAGCCGCTCTGTTATTCTTTTCCGTCGCCTGTAAAGGGAGCGCCTGTCTCTTTCTATTTTACATCTACTCCTCCTTTTTCTTAGAGGAATAAGCCTTGTGCATACATCGAGTGCCACCAAGTTAATCTGTTCTAGGCATAAGTTGGGGTCTGTGTTGCTTAGTATATCTTCCCAGCTTATATTACCTGGAGTTTACCTGGAGAGAGTTTCGGGGGTCAACGCCCCCGCGGCCCGGTCTGTGACCAGGCCTCCTGGTGGATCAGCGCCTGATCAACCAGGCTGTTGCTGCTGGCTGCACGCAAACCAACGTACGAGCCACAGCCCGGCTGATCAGGAACTGCCTTTAGGTGCTTGTCCAGTGCCAGCTTGAAGACTGCCAGGGGTCTGTTTGTAATCCCCCTTATGTGTGCTGGGAGGCAGTTGAACAGTCTCGGTCCCCTGACACTTATTGTATGGTCTCTTAACGTGCTAGTGACACCCCTGCTTTTCATTGGGGGGATGGTGCATCGTCTGCCAAGTCTTTTGCTTTCGTAGTGAGTGATTTTCGTGTGCAAGTTCGGTACTAGTCCCTCTAGGATTTTCCAGGTGTATATAATCATGTATCTCTCCCTCCTGCGTTCCAGGGAATACAGGTTTAGAAACCTCAAGCGCTCCCAGTAATTGAGGTGTTTTATCTCCGTTATGCGCGCCGTGAAAGTTCTCTGTACATTTTCTAGGTCGGCAATTTCACCTGCCTTGAAAGGTGCTGTTAGAGTGCAGCAATATTCCAGCCTAGATAGAACAAGTGACCTGAAGAGTGTCATCATGGGCTTGGCCTCCCTAGTTTTGAAGGTTCTCATTATCCATCCTGTCATTTTTCTAGCAGATGCGATTGATACAATGTTATGGTCCTTGAAGGTGAGATCCTCCGACATAATCACTCCCAGGTCTTTGACGTTGGTGTTTCGCTCTATTTTGTGGCCAGAATTTGTTTTGTACTCTGATGAAGATTTATCGGTTAGGACTTGGTTTACTTGGTCCCACTTTATGTTTTTGTTATTGAAGTTGAATTTGGTGAATGCTCCCTCGTGACTAGTCTCATTATGTCGGTCTGGGGCTCCACGCATACATGTCTGACCCTCAATTATGTTGTGATCTGAGTATATTGTTTTTGATATGGTGACATTTCTTATCAGATCATCATTGTTAGTGAAGATGAGGTCTAGTGTATTCTCCAGTCTAGTAGGCTCTATTATTTGCTGGTTTAAATTGAATTTTGTGCAGAGATTTAAAGGCTCGTGTGAGTGTGAGTTTTCATCAGAGCTGCCTCCTGGTGTTATTACTGCAACAATATTATTTGGTATATTCCTCCATTTTAGGTGCCTTAAGTTGAAATCCCCCAGGAGCAAGATGTTGGGTGCAGGAGCTGGAAGATTTTCCAGACAGTGGTCAATTTTTAACAGCTGTTCCTGGAATTGCTGGGATGTTGCATCCGGAGGCTTGT